ATATGACATTATATATAGAACATTGAATATTGATAAAATGTAACATTTTTTCCATAGAAACTAAATAAATAAGAATAAATTGACATTTATGTAATGTGAATTTATTAAAGATTTTTATATTATTACATTGAGTAAATGTAGGCAAACTGGTCAAACTTTAAATTTAAAGTCTTTTGTTCAAGCATTATACACTTGAATTAGTTTAATTGATTATATTACAGTAACCAAGTGCAGATTTATACTGTTCGCTTTGAATCATAATTTATGTGTTTTTAAATATTAGTGATACTATACAGTGAACCTGATTAGAGTAAGTATTGCATTGTTTGAGTTGGATATTTTTACTACCAAGCATATTTTTTATATACTTGGTGTATGATTGACAATGGATTCCAGGGCATGGGTCTTTTTCAGTTTGGGACCCGTCAGTTTACTATCTACCTACAGTATTCATATTCATATTAAGACTCAAACTTAGCACTTCTCATTTCAAACGCATTATCTATTGAGCTACTGAGCCCATGTAACGTATACATAGTAGATGTATTAAAACGTTTGACTTAACATTTTATCAAGCTCATCTGCTCAAGTTGTACATATGGTAATAGAGATCTTGAATATTCATAGTGTAAAATTTCACATTCTTAGTAAACGAATTTTTACATTTAAAATAATCCATGACTATTTCGTAGAATTTGTATACACACGAAACCGTATAAAGACCGTTGAACGCTACCGGTATAGTTATGAACAATCATGAATAGTGTAAATGATGTTTTTTATAGTTGGCCGATTCATTTTTAAGTTTACAGTTTGTATATATTCGATAGATATTTGGATACTAAACAATTATTTCAGTCAGATGATTTCAATAACTCTGTGAATCGGTTGGAAGATACTTTCATGTTTGTTAAGATTGAGATAAGTTAGATGTGTTCATGATCGTCCCATTGAAGGTACTGAATAATTTTAAGAAACGGAAATAAATTTATTATCATTTGACGATTGTAATTGCTCTAATCAAGTGCTCTAATTATAGCAGTTTTTAAGGTTCTTTATGAGTTATATTATTAAAGTCTTCATCAGTTGAGTCATATGATCATTTATTTTAATACCCAGTTTACTACCGTTTGTAAATATTTGCATTTTACTCACTGTTTGATCGATTACTTATAGCGAACAAGGTCATTGAATGTATCCCAAAATATTTCTCTTGTGTATAATGGTGGAATCTATGATATGTATTTTAATCTGGATGTACTCACACTGAGATTTGAACTCAATACCCATTAATTCAAGTCCCTATGTGATAACTAATAATCTTCTGAGTTCATCTAAGGACTAATTGATCCAAAGACGATGATAGTTACTATTCTTTATGCGGGTTCATATCCTGGAATATTAATTGTTGGTGTCTGAAGTGATGGCATAGCGTTTGAGACTCACTGTGTACTCAAAAGGATGAACATCAAACTAACAAGTTCCAAAGGGGACGTCATCTTAGATCTGCATCTTAGCGTTAACTGTAACCTAAAATGTAATGTTCAATTTCCTCATTTATTATGGTTGGTTGAAGCGTTTTAGGCTTATTATAAATACTGTCATTAAAATTCAAATCTTCGTTTATAAAAACTACAGTGAATGGGCTTATCTGTTGTGGATTTACCATTAGTCTTTGAAGTTGTAACGCAGATAGAAAACAAATAACAATTTTGATGTTTACTGATATTTCTCGAAGGCACACATTTAGTGACTCTTATAATGATGATTTTATGCTATGATCAAGTTTTATAGAACAATTTCTTGTTGGTTCTTCATGTTGCATGGAATAGCTAGTATTTCTGTATATATCTGTTAAAAGAATAAAAGATTAAGTCCTTGAAATACCACCTATTTCTAATTAATTTGATTTACATTGGAGGATAGTTTCTCATTCAGCAATTCGGATGACTCTCACGGTCTCCTACATTGTACGACCATTCCATGTACCTAAATTAGTGGTTGCTCTGGTTGTCAAAAGGGTCGTCAGCCACGTGACTTCCGATGGAACTCGGCTCTCACCATGAGGCGTCACAGCTCATGTAAATGAAGATCTTGCAACCCCCAGGGGAGAGTTTAAACGGTTTGGATTATCTTTTCTGGTTATCGTTGTTTTAGCGAGTTAGTTTTCTACGGGATGAAGTTGCGAACCCCATGCCCAACCCTCCTACTTTATTCGGGCTTGGGACCAGCAGTAGCCCCAGAGAGGCCCTAGGCGGAGTTGATAGTTTAGTAGGAATAAATTATAATCTAGACAACTGTAGAAAAGACATTCTAAATATCACTTCTATTTAATCAAATCAAAATATTGTAAGATAACTGAAAGTGTATCATACCCAGTGTATTTAAAAGCTTTAAGAGAATTCCTACAGTTAATTCATGCATATAACGATATTAATTTATCGTCTTTTGATAGTGTACAGTCAAATAAGTTCATTTTTAATGTGTGCAATGTTAAGTTTTACCAGTTTACTGAAATAAAAGTTGATGAACATATACTTAGCTACTATAACTGATGAAACATTGTTTATGAAGATAACATTAAGCAAAAACAGCTAAGTGAAAGTGAATCTGCCGTTTCATTGGACACTGTAAAATTAATGGACTGCCGGAACAAAAGGTCCTTCTTATTTGATGATCGCTTGTATTTTCCGATAACTGAATCACTAACCAGACAACTATTAGTGAACTGAATTTGAAAAGATGTGAACAAAATTGAATGTACGTGAGCTGCTATAGATTCATACTAAGTAAGCTCTTTTTTAATTTAAACAGAGATGGATAGTGTCTAGTGATGAAATCCAGGCCGTGCGTTTTGTCCTATTTGAAACTTTTCCATGGATGGACCTTCATCCCATGGTTGGTGTTCACTCCGGGACTTGAACCTAGTACAATTTACTCCAAATGTCATCACATCATCCACTAAGCATCTGAGTCCATATAACCACTGGCTTATTCAATAGGGTGAATTTTCCGTATATGTGGATCCCGTGGGGATCACCTCGATATTATCATTAGGTCACAAGTATTTTAGGCAGAGGCAAATAGTGGTTAGTAGTGTTTGAATTGCTTGTGACTTGTTGGCAATACCGAAGTAATCCGCATAGGATACATACATGTCATAAACAGACTGATCAATTGCAGTCCTAAACAACAATGGGAAGATTTAAACAACCAATATAATTGAGTTCTTCTTTAATTAGAAAATTCTTATGTTTTTCAAATTTGAACTTACGTTGAAAGATAAGTGGTTAGACGCAGCTAAAAACAAACATACTAATCCGAATTTATCTCCAGTTTGTACTGGCAATATATATAAACGTCAGATTCGAACCCACATCATCCAGTGTTACAGTCAGAGACTAAGGATATTAATTACCTCAGGATATCAAATACACATTGCTGATAAGTCCCAACCAGCACGAAACTCAATCTTATAGATTCGCGATGATTACATCAAACCGTGTAAAATCAGGATTATAGCATACACGATGTCGAGTCATTTAGTCTAGAATCCACGTTGCAACTTAATCCACAAAATTCAATCAGCATTCAGGGTAAACATTATATTGGTCACCGCTTACTAATCAATCAAATGTAAACGGTATAATTTCACTTTACGTAACATGTTTCCCTCGTTTCTTTGTTTTTTTTTTGCTTCTAGAATATTTTTGTTATACCGTTTATTACTTTCATGTCTCAACTAGTAACCATTTCCATTTTGTATATTGATTGCTACCACGGGTTTTCATTCAATAGACATGATCGTGCATGATATTAATCATATTCTTACATCTATCCAAGTGGAAATTCGGATAAACTAAATTCATCCTTGAAAATAATCTAAAGACAAATTTCTTATGTTTTAACAGAAATTTTAGCATTTCACTGTATAAGTTTGCTTCGTAAAGATGATCATGGTCTTTCTAATAAGTCCATGACTTGATCTACAAAGGTTAATTATAGACAAAACTATACTCCTGGAGATTTCAAGGGAATAATGAAGGTTTCTTATGAAAGAAGATAGACTACTGAAAGTATTAGCTCTCTTTTTAAGTGGATCGAATGTTTCAGCAATGAACTCAACATGGGTATTCACTGAATGCTTTGTAAATATGTAAACATTGATATACAGTAAGGAACCGGAAAAAATGAAGTGGGAATATCATGAGGAAATGAGAAAGAGAAAAGTCATACAGCCAAGGAATAGTTGAACAAGTATAGTGTTTAAAAGGAGGTATAACTCAGTCGAAAATATGGTCAGTAAAGATTATTTTCCTGTTTAAAGAACTATCATAAATTATATCAGTCTTGGACACAACTATAAGAAGTCTCTACTGGATCCTGTTCTGGAACAGTTCTAATGATAACTCAACCCATTGGGTTGCATGAAATCTAGCTACCCAGCCGGAAGATCTATGTGGATCGAGAGGTCCTAGTGACATACAACGTTCTGTGATAAAATGCTAGTATATCATAAACTTACATCTCTATATCTTCTCCACTCAGTCCCACAGTTGATAATTAGTGGTTGTTAAAAAAGCGACTAGGATGACATTCATAAAATGTATCTAATGGTGACACCCAATAAATTGTCTTCTATGAGTCAAAACAAACATTAGCAAACTTAGTCATCACCGAAATGGTGCTTGCATCAGATGTGAGCAATTTTTTAGGATAACAAACTCGAAAACTATGAGTCAATAATCACCTCGACATTCGAATATCCAGGTCTTACGAGTGTAGACCAGAATTGTTTTAAATGATTAGCCGTTTACTAGAAATTTTAGAGCCAGATTAACATCACATTGGCTCTGAAGATGGGCTAAATCGGTGTCGACTGCTCTGGCTTCCACTATACTGACATTACTGAACAAAATACATAGGTATACATGTAAACTTCCAATTATATATTGATATCAACAAATTCCCTTAGACAGTCTCGTTCAAAAGCAAAAACGAAAAGAAATAAACATTTTATTATTCTCTTTTCACACACACACGTACACTGCATATACACAAATAATTATAAAGGATTATTAATGTATTTGAAATGATACCCAAAATCCAGTTCAAAGTTAGATGAAATATGATGATCTTATAGCTATGAGATCATTAAGTGTATACGTATAAATGTGAGAGAAGATGTTACATAACTGAAATAACTCATATATTTACCTGCCTTTTTAAAGATATTCTCTTCGTTGTAAACGTATTTATTTCTAATATTGAACAGTAATTTATGTAGTTATTGCTTGAAAAATATTTCTTGTTTATTGTTATGTAAAATAACGTAAAAATTTAATTCCAAATGAGGAATGTGACAATCAAGCAATTTATTATTCGCCTCTTCTTCATGTTAAATTGCATATACTACCCACTAATTTCCAAATGTTATAGGTAAATAATAAAATTAGGAAAGATGATTATTTATCGTGCTTGTTTAGTAAATTTTCAGTAGATCAGTGTTTATTATCAATTTTGAATATTTATAATGTAACCAATTGGGCCAATACATTTAGTAATGTATATACTTCCCATCAGGTATTACATATCATCCCATCCAAATATCGATCAAAATAAAATGCAGAGTATTTTAAGATAAACAAATTTGCTTACTTACAAGTAGTTCAATAAATAACACACAAAAAGTGGAACCATTTCAAAAATGAATTACCATTAACCAAAGATTATGGTCAATATTAGTTTGCAAAGATAACTAATAATAACAAACTATATTTCAGTTTAAAGGAATAAAATAATAGAGATCAAAATAAATTACTAGTGATTAAGGAAAGAAGTGGAGTTTCTTCTATTTTTTTAATCGTACATTTTATGAAAGTAATTTATGAGAAATGTTTGTGAACAAAACATATGCATACGTACATGCATACATACATACATACACACACACAAACGAACAAACATACATACATACATTAAAATTGGTAGAATTATGCCGAATTGAAATAAATGACAAAGCGGTACAATAAATGATTAATTTATGAAACAAATAACACAACATTAAATAAAATTACAGAAAATATTCCTCCTCAAAAAAAATCGTACGTTTTTTGTTTCTCCTTTAAAACTAATAAGAACTAAGAACATGAAATTAAATGTTAGTTTTCATTCATTCAAAATATGATTATTTGTTTATTTTGTTGAGAACTACTTTTGTTGAAATAAGTAGTTTAAAAAGTTATCCAGCTTTTTTCTATCTTATTGTATTTTCATCTGGAAATGTCGAGTTTATTTGATTAAACTGAAGATGTTCATTGAATAGTAATTCTTAGAAGAATTAATCCCTTATTCGTTACTATTATTGTAATTATGTGTATACAAGTATGTACACTAGACAAAATAATGAATAGGCTCTACTGAATTTCGAAAGAAAAACAAAATAGAAGAATATACTTTTAGATTTCATTCTACCATTATGTTTATGATGAAAATATTTGTCCATTACTTTTTGTTCACATGTATGCATGAATTTCACCTTCACTTTCACTTTCTTTTCCTCTCCTTCTAAACTTGTTTACATTGAATACAATTAAATGGATGTGTACATTTAATTCGTAAACATAAATATACTAGATTGTTATTAATATAGAATGTTTAAAATAATAACATTAAAGAAGATAAGAATAAAGAAAGAAAAAAGAGAAGAAAAAGAGGAGAAAATAAAGCTAAAATCATATTGAACACTGTATATTATTATTATTATTATTGTAGTTTTAATTCAATATGGTTTTGTAGAATCACTTTTTGGACGTTTCAATTGAACTTTAAGACGTTTCATACCAATTTGAAAACCATTCATTGCATGTATAGCTGTTTGTGCACTTGATGGATTATCAAAGCTAACAAAACCTAATAAAATAATATTAAAAAACAAAGAATTATAATCTATTATTACGAGAAAAATAACTAATGGTATTATATGTATATTGATTTTTGCATCATTTATAATTTTATGTTTACTGATTAAGCATTACTTCCGGTTTCATTGAACCTGTTTAAGGATAATGATCATTGAACAAACTAAAATGTTGTTCAAACGATTGAAGATATTTTTAAAAAAATATTTCATTGTATAATAGTTAAAGTTTATTAAAACAGTAAACATGGAGATTATGAAATTGTCTAATAGTTTATCATATAATATTATACAATATGGTTCAGGGAAACTCTGGGTATTTACAATTATTGAGCAGTGAGTAATGGTCAACGTTACTTGCACACTTACTTACTTACTTAAGTCTATTACTCCCAATGGAGCATAGGCTGCCGATCAGCGTTCTCCGACCCACTCTGTCATGAGCCTTCCTTTCTAGTCCTATCTAATTTTTGATCATTCTTTCCATGTCTGTCTCTATTTCTTGACGTAATGTGTTTTTTAGTTTCCCTCTTCTCCTTTGAGCTTGAGGATTTCAAGTGAGAGCACGCCCTGTGACGCATTTGGGTGCTGTCCTCAATGTGTGTCCTATCCACTTCCAGTGCTTCTTCTTGATTTCTTCCTCCTCTGGTCAACGTAGTGTTTGTTTAATCTTTAGTACAGATCACATTCCATCAGTCCATTTGCAATGTGTTTACTAATCTAAGCATTTCCACATGTTTGGATGTTAAGTGGGTAGAGGCAATCATTTTAAATGTTTCAGTCAGATCTAGATGGAATAACTCATTATTAATGTCTGCAACTATGTTGCTGTTTGATAAGGACTCGAAAAGTCATTCCCTTAATAGTTATGATATGCTTTATAAATGAGGGCTATTTGAAACGAAACTTAGATTCAGAGTTTTCTATCGGTTACCTCCAATCATGTAAATTCAAACTTAATATCTATCAAGTGTGTTTCAAGATTATTCAACTTCGTCAAGTTTTGAACAAGTAATTTTTTCATTAATATACTCATAACCAGGTAATTATATTCCTATCAAAATTTCATAAAGCATGCGTTGTCGTTCATGTTAGGATAAGTATTATACTTTGTTATCAGAATTAGAGAAGGTTTGTTATTGTAGTGCCCCCGAATGCCCTGGTATGGCCGACAGTGGGGAGAGTCAACTCTCCCTTTCCAAATGCTTTCACACGGCCACGTGCACACAACCGCTGCCAGGGAAATCCTATTTACTGTCTTCTCGTGGCGGGGGTGTTGTTTACGAAATTGAGAGGACGAAAAGCTAATGTCCGGCGCCTTGACTTTGTTGGTGGATGTGGAGGATCCACCTACGGGAGTTAGAAAACCTTGATTCCAAACCAATGGTGCACATGGACTCCAGTATCCTGAGGGAAGAAATAGAGTATGAACCAATTGTTGGTCACCAGCTACCATGGGACTGCATCTCCTGATGTTGCTCCATTTCCTTGTAGATCAGACCTTTAGGTCAAAGGCTCGGTGTGTGGCCCCCTAGTAAAACCACCAGTTTCGGTACCCGGTCAATATCCTAGCCCTCGCACAAATCGCACAATTTATGTGGCGCATATCTATATGGTACCTCCTTGTACCAATGTTTATGTAATTAAATAAATAAATAAAAATGTTATTGTCGTATTATAGACCAATAATACATTCAGAATAATAACTGCCTCATACGTAGTAGAATGAACAAGTTCTCATAAGATCAAATAAACAATTGATAAAATAGCTTGTATAGAATAAAAAGTCAACTAATTGACAACTCTCATTTCAAATTAAAAGGGATAATACTTTGGAGAATTCCTTTCATTACTACAAATTGGTGATAAAGTTGACTATAACGTAACTCATTTGTCAAGTAGAAATCTATAAAATTGTCTAATAACTACACTTTTTATAATGTGAGGGCTAGTGATATTATTCAACTGCTTAAAGCGAAATTAAGGAAGTGAAACCTCGTGTTTACTACTTTTTTTCATTAAACTAATAACACCACAGCTTTTAAATTAAATACTATTTAAATTATTGAAAAGAACTTACCAAAACATTTACTTTGATTCGTTGCACGATCAACATATACTTTAGCACTGATTACCGTTCCAAATGGCATAAACATCTGAGCCAATTCTGGATCGCCAAATTCCTGTGGTAGGTGGTATATGAAAAGATTGCATCCCTCCGGCCCTATATACATACATATATATAAAGATAGATGTTGATTTGAACCTAATTCATAAATATTTATTAATCATATACACAGATATAAGTTTATCATTCATTAACTTGTATACTGGTGTTGATAAGAAAGAAATACAGAATGGATATTACAAGAGAATTGATGTGATTTGCTGTTAAGTTCATTGCGTTGATCAAAATTTGTTGATCTAATTTTAATTTAGTCCATAATGTAAGTAACTTAACTTTACAAGATGTTTCGTCTGATCCTTAGGGTGGTGAGAAGCAGTTTAATAGGGTAGCCGTGGACTCAGAATTCGTTGATATAGTTTTAGTTTTGAGTGAACTTTTACTCCCCTCCCATGTAGAATACGAACATTCGTTATTCTGTGTGATTGTTAGTTTTGGAAAGAAATCGTAACCAATTGAGTTCAGTCACGTTTTAAGTGAGAAAAGTAGTTTCAATGATACCAAAGGACGGTCAGGTAGCATTGTAGTAAAACAAAGACCCGCTGGCGTAAACTAATTTATTGTTGAATTGAAAAGTACAGAGTAGTTTAGTAAAATATGAAGACTATACATTAAATATAGTATTTGCATATCTTTCTCCAATTTCCCTTAACATGCTTCACGATTTTTTAATCCTGTTGTTATTGTAATTGCTTTCTGTTTACATTATTGTTCTCTTCATCTTAATTTTCTCAATCTTCTGCTGCCAGACATTCCACTTGTGATTGGTGTCACGTACTACTTATATCTGTCAGTATAAGTAGCATCTATCACAGTATCAGAAATTTATCGCGATTAACAAACTGAAACATTTTATGCCGAATACGTTGTATTAATATAGAAATGAGCCTAAACGTTATTGATGAACACTCCTGTGAAATCTGAAACTTATCCATTAACATTGTACTCCTATGAGTAAATTTGTAGGCCAGAAATATTCATTTTGTTATGTCCGTTACTACTGTCCGATATACGTGTGTTTTGCTGTACATGTTCACTGACTGATTATATGTATTCTTCGTTTTTTTCCGTGTACTAGTTACATTAATTTGCCAATTTACAAACAAATGAAGTAATAAAGGACACATTTTACTTGTTTTAATAATAGATATGACGCCTAGATTTTGATTTAACAACACTATGTAATGTACTTAAACAAGATGACTGTAGAAAAACTAAATCCTACATGTAAAGAAATGATATCTAACTTCAATCGGTCCATGATCTTGCACAACACCTCGTCTATTGTTTGAGGTGAATAACTGTCTAACACCCGACACGGATTAGACTCTTCTGGCAAGGGCTTCTCACTAGAACTCTAGGAAATTCATCTTGAAGTTAGTCAGCAATGAGCACATGATTACTATCAATAAGGAAATTTGTGAAGACTGTAGTATATTTAACAGTCTAATTGACGGGCTGATCTAAGCTAAACTAGTAATAAAAACCCGGAAGCACTGGCCGATCATTTTGTCCAAGTGTGAGACTTCTCATCAGCGCGCATCCATGATCTCACACGCAGAACTTGAATCTAGGACTTTCAATCTCGCTTGTAAACGGTTAACCTCTAGACAACTGATGTAATTCAGATCTCCAATGATGATCTAGCTTAGATCGACTCAAAAACCTAATTATTAAATATACTACATTCACCATAAATCCTCTTACTGAAAACACATAATAATCACTCAAAAACCATTTTTATGATAAAATCAAAATCCATAAATACAATGCGTTATTTGTTATTTAGTCAGACAATAGTCTCTTTGATTTCAAATGTATTGAGGTGGATTTCAACTGATATTTAGGATCATGGGAACAAGGAATGATGCAGGGATCTTAATAACTTGGGATGATTAGAAACAAAAAGAAAATCTGATCGGGAATGAGTTATGAAATTTATTCCACTAAAAGCTCAATAAAATTGAGAATTCAAGAATAGATTCATTGTGTATACGATTATTATATCATTTAGTAGTCGTAACAATAATAATAATAATAATAGTGAACAAACAACTGAGATGGGGAAGACCAATTTATTGTTTAATGCAAAATTACAGGAAATCTTCATGAAGTATGAAAACCATACATTCAATACTCCATTTGTACATCTTCAATCAATTGTGCCTCACAAATTTCATTGTTCCATCACTCCTGTTGTTATTACAATTACTCCATTTTTATATTCCTGTTCTCTTCAGTTTGATATCAATTTTCTGTTGCCAGGCACTTTACCACTTATATCTGTCGACATCAGTAGCATACATAACAGTAGTAGTGTAGTGAACGAGAATAAAAGTGGGGATAATCAAATGTATTTGAATACAAAATTACAGAACATTTTAGCAAAATGTAAGAACCATGCAGTAAATACTGAATATGCAAAATGTCAATCAGTTGTCTCAAACTTGATTGTTCCTTTTGCAAATATAAAACAATCGTCTCAGACTTCATTGTTCCTTCATTTCCACGGCGATAATTCTCTGTTTTCATTCCCTTTTCTTTGATCTTCTTAACGTTCTACCGCCAGGTATTTCACATTTTACTGATAATACATACTACTCATAGCTATTGACATTAGTAGCACACACCACAGTAGTAGTAATAGCAGTAGTAGTGTAATGAATGTTAGTAGTATTGGCAGTAATGAATTCCGATAACATATCTCATAGTTATAGCAGGACTTATAATTTACGGAAATAATATTGTATGTTTCCTGAAAATTACAGTCATTTACATTTAGAAAGGATGATAACAGAAATAGTGTAAATGTAATCTATCCAATAAGTATACCAACTGAGTTAAAATATAAAAAAAAATTTAGTGGAATTTGATCACTTTTATTCTGTTTCGAAATACGGTTCATTATTGGGATTGTATTTGCTCCTCAGTCATTTCTGTTGCATTAAATGTTCTTGAAAGTCTTCAGAAGTCAAACGTTTTAGCTAACTTAACATTTTGATATGATTTCTTCTATTCCAAATTAATCACTAGCAGAAATCTGAACAATTAATCCACGATTGAAAGGATCAAAAGACAGGATACATTGTCTGTTCTCATGAATATATTTCATCCCAAATCTGTCATGCACCTGTATCGTCCTTTTAATCTCCTCGGTTAACACTGAAATGTTTGATTAACTTGAAAAGAGACATTTTTCCTAGATCTATCATCTCCACAAGCAGTCATCAATACTGAATGGATGTAATGAGATATATTCTTGTTTCGATAAAAGTTAAATGCAACTCATTTCGCGTGTTTATTATACAAATCACACATCCGTATGATCTTGATAAGTACATTACATGAATAATGATCAATGCTTGAACAAATATTTTGACAGGATACAGGCACTGACTGTACAGAAGGCATTACTTGTAATCGGATCAATGAATATTCAATAGTTCAAGACGTTTTCTACGATACTTTTAGGAAATAAATCATCTTTAACAAGATAATGTAATTTTGAATAGTAAGAAAAGAGAAAGCGAATCAAACAATCAAGTGTACATAAAAAGGGGTTCTGACATTTTACTATCATATCTATCATATGTAACTATACTTGATATATGCAACGTAGTGAATATCTGTATGTGAACTCTTCTCCTCATATACTGAGGTGCTACAGCTATACTACTAAAATCATAAGTAAACTATGCAATTTCCAATCAGTTGAATTATAACAATGGTAAATAAAGCACTTCATAACAGATATTAACAGTTGGAGATTATGATTGTTTGTTCAACACTCTTCATTGGAACAAAGTTTAGATTTTCTAGCTAATAACGAGACAAAGATTGTTTATATTATTAAACGTTGACATTCAACAGTTAATGAATCAGTCGATCAGTGGTACTGGAATTAACGGAAACAGCTACTCAGACTCTATTCCATTGCAGTACTATTGTCTATGTTAATCCCGATAGCTTACGATTCTCACCTTTTCTAAATGTTGATTCCATTTCAACCGGCACAAATATTTTATTCAGTGACTCGATATATTTTTTCAAGTTTTCTATCATTGCTTACTCTTTTAGCATTTTGATGAATCCAACATATTCTGCTTACAATCTTATACTATTGACAAATTTCCATTAGGTGAAAGGTAAAATGAATAATTTCGTTTGTATGAATCATGTCATCAGTGATCAACTCGATTCAATTTATGTATATTTTCTCAGGAATTAATAAATAACTCTTGCTTATTTGTTTATTTAAATCAAATATAATACACGACAACTAACTGTCTACATTCATAATGACAATAATACGAACTACATCAAAACATTTTATGTGCATAAGTTCACGGAACAAGGTATTGTTAAATTATATAACATCGCATTCTGCACAATATAGCGGGTATGTTTGTGTACTGAAATTATTCACCCTTTTCTTAAACTTAACATTTTGTACCGGTTAAATACATTATGGATACTATAAACATTTAAGACGAAACAATAATATCTTTGACTGAAATGCACAAGCACAAAATATACACGCACACGCACACACATACATTGGTACAGACGTATACTCACATTGATTCACTGGAACATTAATAAACTGACAACTGACATAAATATGAGAATACACTAAACAGTAAAGATAATCTTAATACTTCAGAGTAATCTGACCGATGTAGCAGTAGTAGTAGTAGTGATAGTGTGAGTAGTAGTAGTATTTAAAGTTGAACAGTTGACAACGTCAATAAATAATCATTAGAAACAAACAAAAAGCAATGTGGAATTTCGATAGCAAATTACTAAAATCAACAATATTCCACCATAATTGTTATCATTATTACTACTTGTTACAGTCATCAATAACATGAAGCAATATATTGATTCAATATAAATCACTAATTAGCAACGTCAACGATAATCAATAACAATCAAGATGAACAATATTCCTATATCACATCAATAGTATAGAATGATGAACAGATAAATACGTAGACAGATAGATAGATGCACCATTTACTTTACATTATTAATAAAACCTTTATAATTCATAATTATAATAGTAATTAAAAAGGTGAACAAATGATTCAATGAAATCATAATTAACACAATTACTATAGTTTGTGTTTGTTTGTTTTTTCCAACAATTGACAATGAAAACGGGAACAAGAAGAGTAAACACGTTTTACTACACACTAACATATAACACAATCTGGTGCAATGCCCAACAATAAAGATTATTTTCAAGGATAAAACTAAATAATGATACTAATGATAGTAATAATAACTTTCATTTAAAACAAAGTGAATGGATAAAGAACTCAATTGAACAATTCATAGCAGTCATTGTCAACGAGTTGTACAAGAAGTAATAATAAAAAAAACAAAATATTAGACATAAATTTACCGTTGATCATTTGTTAAACTGTTGGCTAATGAAGAAAATTAGACAGAATAATAATAATGATAATAATATGAGTTGTGAAAGTGAATTTATAAAAGATATTGAGTTTTTTTTTAATATTCAGAGAACTTATTTCACTTAACTAAATTGAATGATTGGCGAGACCATAATTTATGGACGATCTAATCAGAAATGTTTCAGGGAGTTCAAAGTCACGACACCAATTTCAGTACACGATGCTCACGTACGATTGGTTCACAGTGGATTTTGGAGAAAATGGGATAATTCAGCGGCTACAACAAACTGGACTATTAAGAAGTTCCTTTATTTGTGATTTCGGTAATCACATAACATGTGGACCATGTGATGATGTTGTCTTACGATGTAATATATGTTGAAGGAAGAAGTTTGCTAGAATATGATTTTTTTTGCTCAACCCAAATTGAGACTAAGACAAATTATGACAATTGTAGCGAACTAGATAATAAAGGCACCAGTAACACTGACTGCTACCGGGTACTAAAATATATACGGATGATTGGAGAATGTACAGATACTTACATAGACTTGGTTATTTGCGTCGTGTCGTTATCCACAAGTGATATTATTTGAGCCTAACTACCGGAGTGCACACAAACACTATTGAAGCTATGTGGTCGAGGCAGAAAGTGTTTTTGTGATCTGATCATGGCTCCAGATGCCGACTATCATGAAGCCATATGGATGATTTCCTCTACCGTATGCATTGCGATTTAACAACCTCTGAACCTCTCGCTAACTTTGGCAAATTTTTGAACCATTTAAAAGAAGTGTATCCACTTTAATTCATTAGTTTTGTATAATATATTTCCACTTTATACGAAGTGTTTTGTGATTGACTAATCTTTCTCAGGGTTACTTAAGATGCGTTCGAAAGCCGTCCATAAATTATGGTCTCGCCAAAAAACTGGTAACAAGCTAAAAAGAAGGCTCTTTATCGATTAAATATCTTCATTTAATAATCATTATAACTGAGATATAATGGTCTGAGAGATTTCTTTCTTGAGAAGACAACCATCTAAATGGTTAGCCTCTTATGGTTGAAATAGTATTTAACTTTTATAAGTTTTAGTAATAACTAGTGCAAAATACTTTGATAAAACTATACTGATTGTAGTATCTAATTTGATTGTAAAAGTTGTAGAATAGTAAAACTCCACCAAAATCATCCACCTGAGCTACAAATCTTCTCCACTATAGTAAAACTGAATTTAGCATAAAGATTGTAATTTATCAAACAAACAGAATAATAGTTTACAATATCTTAGTAGATAATGTTGTCTGTTTAATGAGAGGAATAAGACGTTATTGTTGTTATGTTAATTTCTGATATTGTTACTATAATATTAAATATAATGAGTTTATGACAATTTTAGTTATAATGATTATCACTGACAAACTCAATTGTTGTTTTAAAGAGTTTACACTTTAATTTGTTATATTTTTACAACTATAACGACTAAGAATGAATTCTTATGAGGTAATGCTTTGTATAGAATTCAGATAATATCAAGGATGAAGGGGAATTTCAGTTGCCAATTCATTCAGTGCAAATATATTCAAAAAGAAATTATCTCAATTGTTTATACTGTAAATTGTACTGGATCATTGATTTCAGTACTGAATAAATTTGTGTTTGGTACTATTCACTGACATACTTTCAAGTTTTAATTCATGAGATATGAAGCATCAATATTTAAGTTGAATAACAGTTGATTGTTGTCTTTATTCTATTAACATGTGTAAAACTCAATTAAATTTATGCGAATGAAATATGAATTGAATATTTGACTTTTAGAGTTCCATCAACTAATCTTGAAAGTTTTATTAAGCCTGGTAGGTTGGTGTCTGGCAAAATCATGGAAGAGGTTCAGAATGCCAACATGATTTTTTTCCAGATTGCTTCTCTTGTAATGTAAGCAAGTTATCAGTATGCTAGTGAAAGCCACAGTACAATTTGCAAAAGTTTGTTGTCTTTTACTTTATGGATGTAAAACGCAGGATTATAAAGTAATGGGAATCCATAGGCTACTAACTTTTGATGACAGATATTATCAAAGCATTGGTACCACATCGTGGAACAAGGAAATGGCCAATACTAAGGTATGATAAGCAAAGATGGCAATTTGGTGGATACGATTTTGAATCTTCATCAAAAAATATGGTTAGGAAATAAATTAAATATGCTGAACTATATCATATCTTGGTGCTCAGTGCTGGGTGATGTAGTAGTAGGTTAAAAGAAACTTTGTAGAGTCGAAGACAAAACATGCAATTAGTTCATGAAGTCAATGACGACCAATCTGTGTCATGTTGGTAAGTAAACACTATCTGGTTGGATTATATGCAAAGCTCATGATCAGTGATTGGGGTGTTATCTAGTGGTCTGAAATCGATCACAGAGAATATAGATCCGTTAACTCCTCGTTTACCTTTAGATCTTAAGTTTCAAAACTATGTTATGTCTCGTATTCTCTTATTTCTTCTAAAATCATATTCTATATTAATTCACCATAAATCGTTTGATTTTCACTTCATAATAATCTGTTAAGTCGTATCTTACATCAATTAACTCTTTATTTTAAACAGTTTGCATTATACCCAGTTGTGTTAACTATATAGAAGTACTTACGGCGAGACTATAATTTATGGACAAACAAATCATGTATAAAATAACAGGTCTTAGATTTCGGCACGAAATTCATCCACGCATTTGGCTAGATAGAGTGTTGGTATTATAGCTAACGTCAGTTCATGATGAAAACCCTAAATCGAATTCTTAAGCTTAATCATCAACTATAAATCATAATTCTAATTTCTCACACAGGTTTATAACCTTCATTTGGTCCTGGTTATTAAGTGGACACTCTCAAGGTCATTTTTGCGTCGCTCAAAGGTCATCCATAAATTATAGTCTCACTCAATTATAATGTATAGTAGTACTTTTGATGTAATTTGTTAATAAAATCATTCTATTTAGGATCATTTTAATGTGATTCAATAGCTAATTACTTTGTTACAATGATATAAACAATTTTTAATATTAATTACTTCCAGTTAATTATTTTATTCAGTCTGTTTGGTTAGCTTAAGGGAATAGATTTGTGATCCATTTGAAATATAGCTGATTTATAGTGGTAGTCTTATAAGACTTTGAATTTTTGATTCTATAACTGGTAAATTGTGTATTTATGGTAAGAATAACATAATATAGAATACATGAGTATGACACAAGCTCATGTCCTACATATTCAAGGTTACATATACCTATATAGTGAAGTCGGGAATGTGTACTATTGGGTGTCTATCTAGAGTTTTAGTGTCTTAGCTCTCGTCAACAGACCTAGATTTCCTGGGTCTGAACTCTGATGAAGTAATGATTGCTCACTTCAAAGGAGTCCTGTATTAAGTTGCATCATCTACCTGATATTATTTGATATCCTGAAGCACCCTAATGTAGAGTGGTCTGTTACAAATGACACTCACAAACAAAACAAATATTCACAAATCTCCTTTATCAAAATCTTGGTTAGGATTTTTATCACAAATAGATATCTAAAAAATCACTGAAAAACAGGGAGTAATGGACAGTATTTGAATGATATTATGTTGGTAAAGAAATCTGAAGGATCGTTGATTTGATCTGGTATGGGGACATATAGGTATTTCCTGCTTATCTGTTTATTATTAGAGGGAGACAATTATCCAGTACCTTTTACCATTTAGTTTGCCAATTATTAGCACCAGTTTGCAATAATCTATTTATGCAAAATCTTTATAAGATTATCTAAGGCAAGAATAAATTGAATGTACCTTTTAATGAAACTACAATTTTTCAACTTATTAGTGTATGCTAATAAAACTTGGTCAGTGGATGGAGATTAAATCTTCTTAAGAAAATATAGCTGTGTATTTGTACAGTTTGTAAATTTATTAAACCCTATATAAAATGTATATAGCAATAGTTTAAAAGAAGTTAAAATGGGCGGGAAGAAGTTTGGTAAAGTTAGACACTAATGTTTTAGTATCAAAAGAGGTTTTTGTACATATTATGTTAATTTTAATAGTTGAGATCATGAGTCAGTTGAAGCTAGACCACCATGCAAAACCTGGGAGTACTGGACGATAGTTTCGTTCTATTGTGGGACTCCTCAGCTGTGTGCATCAACGATCCCACCTCTCAAGATTCGAACCCAAAATCTGTCGGTATCGCACGTGAACACTTAACCTCTAGAGCAATAAGCAGGTCGGCATCCAATGGTGTTAATTTCTACCTTCCACTAGTGCTTCCAGGTTCTCCATGGTGGTCTATCTTCAATTGACTCATGATCTCAACTACTGAAATTACTATTATTTTAGTTAATAACATTCAATGCAAATATTATGGCAGACAATAAAACAGATCATTGAATGAGTCAAAAAATGATTATATATATATACATATATATAAGTGTAATCAGTTTAAATTAAATCATACCTGTTAATATTAGATCTTTAGTACCTTCTTTCTGTTGTATAGGCATTGTAAGTGCTTGATGTGCCATTGTAGCGAATGGATTTAAAGCAGATGTGACCGGTGAAGGATAAGCTAATCAAATTAATTTTTATCATTGAATAAATGTGTTAATAAATAAATAAATAATCTATACATAAATTAGCCTATGTGTATCAGTTTAAAGCAAAACAACGACTGAACATTCGAACAGATGTAATTGTTAGAATGTGCTAATAACTACCCACATATATATATGTAAGGGTTGTAAGGATAATTATTCTAATTTTGAGAACATGCTTCGTCGTATTCACTAATTGATCTTCTGGGCTGATTAAGCGCTTATAAATGAACCAGATTGTAAATTATAATACAATTTACTATCAAATGAACAACTTTAAACTTTAGTATAACAACTTAAGAAGGAGATTAGTCATTTGATAAAGGTTATTAATTTAATACAGATTTAGATATTATGTGCCAGTTGATCTGATTTTCAAGGTTAGTTGTAGTAGAAGTAGACCTTTTAAAACGGTAATAACTCAAAGGTTGACATGCACGCCTTTCATGTTACCGCAAACTGTATTTATAAATTTAAGAGTACCTGCCAAAGCAGCTACATTAGCCGAACAGAAAGGAGGACATATCTTAGATTTTTCGAATATGTTCCAAAAAACCTCAGAACAAGAGAAAGAAAGACTCTAAACAGTGCAGTCACCGAACATCTCTTGGACACAAGACATTAGGTAGATACCTCTCAATCTTTCATGGTGATTAGTAAGCTACCAAACTTCATTCTTCTGAAGTTTGCTGAAGCCGTTGCCATCAGGTTTCAAAAACCTGACCTATGTGTTCAAAAGAAGACGGTTATCAATCTTTCCTTACCTTAGTGACAAATATTCCTTTACTGCATCTTAAAAAGAATTTTTTTCTTTTTCTCTAAACTTTTTCCTGCATTTATTACATCACTGAGTTTTATTTCAACTATCTTCCAAATTAATAACCTTATTTTAATTAACTGGTCTCTATTCACTATATTCCTATCATTGTTACTCATTTTATAATCACTTGTTTCTGGCCGTTTGTACTGTTGTCACAACCAATATTGTAGAATATTCTTTCACATAAGGTATATATATTTACAAGATTCAGTCTATTCAGTTTATTTACACCTTTGCTATACTATACTAATGTGTCTTTGATGTAACTTCCAACCAAACCGTCTCATGTAAGTGATTTAAACCCATTCTGTAATTATGATTTTTGTAAATATCACAGAATGTAAGCAACTGACGAGAGCCAAACGAAATAAAAATGAATTCATGCTATTCTGTTAGAATCTATGTTCTTGCTCTATTCAAAATGATAAAGGGCACCATGTGTATAAAATGATTAAAGTAATCAAACACAAACATGCAGGTACACTATCATCTTGAAATGTAAATCTCTTCTTTTAGATTGGCGGACTTTTACACATGACTCAGCTTGAGTAAAATAATTGTACATTGGTAAGGTTAACAAAGCTTCTGCCTTTAGTAATCAACCATGTAATGTTTGATTGTTTGAAAGTTGATTCGTTAGGAAATACATATGCAAACTTTAATACTTCATAAACTTGCACTAAAAACAACATAATTTAACTAAAGTATAAATATCACTCTGTAGAAATCTAAATGTTTAGATCACAATACGTTGATTTTCATTGCTAATTTTTGTTGAAAATCGATAGCTAAGAGAACTTGGCTTGTAATATCCATTATCCATGAGTCACTGATTATGCCTCTGAATAGACTTGATTGTGAAACCATTCAGCTTTTAATTATTTGATTCGAACATAGATACATTCACCATTATACAACGTAGTATACCTTAAAAACAATTATTTCAATAATGCTAGAAGAGGAGATAATATGAACTTCACCTATAGAGAAATGGCTATGTTTTAAACAATTTTCAGTGGTATTATTCCATAAAAACGACACTTACATAATCCGTAAGTTGGAACACTGGGATACAAATGGGAAAGTGCATCAGTAGGAAGTCCAGTTAATGGAGATGTTAATGTATTTAAGCCAAAAGAAGTATTTGAAACTACAAAAATAAATTAATAAATAAAAATCATTAATAAAACAGAAATTCTTATAAAGACTTATTTTATTTAGATGATTCTATAACTCGTTTCCCAAGGTCATATTAAGTTTTAATCCCCATTACCACAACAAGAATTACTACTTCAGATGGTGGAGATTTGTAGCTCAGGTGGATGAATTTAATGGAGTTTAGTTCTCTGAGCTGGAATTATTTCTTCTTCTATCTGAAGTTTGTTCTGATGATGTCGTTCAAAAGAACGATGAAAGTTCCACGATCAAAACGTCCAGCTCAGAGAACAAAACTCCATCAAAACAATTACTACTACTACTACCCATGTGTTACGTATACCAAGTATGTAGAGTGAAGTTTGAACCTATGATCGAATAATTTGTAAATGAATATTCCAGCCCAAATGCAATTAATACACTAGCTGTTGAACTGAGATTGTTTGAAAAATAACTTGATAGCTGTTGCTTCCTATTCTAAAACTATTCACTAGTAAATGTTAACAATCTACATTAGAATAAATTCCATATCTTCTACGCTTCATAGCGCACATGATGAATACAATTTAGACCTCAAAGTCAGGAACCAGTGATCTGAGTTTCCAACTCCATTCAATTTAATTGGTAGGTATTTTACCTTATATTCATAATATTTTGAAATTAACAAGTCGAAAATATTGAAAATCCATTTCACTGCTAGTCACTCGTCAATGCACCATAGTTGGATGAGATGTGAAGATTAGTTAAGTCTGGTCAAACGTAAACTTCATTGAGAAACCAAATCGGCTTTTGTAATAACTCTGTTGTCGATAATAGTTCGTAACAGTAGGAAAAATTGATCATAATCGTATGGACAGAGGGATTTTTTAAATTTATCTGTTAATTAGTATCTAAATGACCCTAAGTGAGCTACTTAATCATGACATTTATACAAAAGCATACAAAATGTAAGTCTTAACTTATCTCTTGAATCGTTTACATCTGAATCATCCATACAATGTGTTCCTAAATTTTTAATTGATCAAGCATGCACTAATTGATACTTTCTCACGGTCGGAATCACTAGTCGATCTGTGCTAGACCATTATCAAGAACCTCAAAAACTGGACAGACGGTTCGTCCTATCGAGGGACTCCTCAGAAGTGAAGATCCACGAATCCTCGTGTGGAACTCGAAATGTACTATGTGAGATGTCTGACACTTAATATAATAATAACGGTGTGATGCTGGACAGTGATAGACTTACTTGCTTGATTCAAAGGAAGAGAAACAGCGCCAAGACCACTAAGAGTTGCCGATGGTGTATGTGTCCCAGGAACTCCATGTAGAGCTAATGTGTGACCACCAGTTCCGGGAGATCCTAAGCCTATTGTTTGTCCTGTCAAACCACATGTTGTTCCATTTGAATTCACATTCCCTGTCACATTCCCATTTGCCATAGCAACTACAGCTGCGGCGGCTGCAGCCATTGCTGCATTTGTACTGAGTGCAGCGGCGGCCGCTGCCGCTGTAGAGTTTCCATTATTAGTGGGGTTATTGTTTCCTGTCTCTCCAGAAATACATGTGTTGTTTACATTGGATAAAGCTGCCATTTGAGGTGATATTTGTGTTAGCTGAGGATTATTGCCGGACATACCAAGCACAGCGGCGGCAGCTGCTGCCGCAGCCATTGGATTTGTATGACAGTTAGGCGATAGATTAACAGTACCTGAACGTGGACTGTGCAGTAGTGGAGCACAGCCTAAATGTCCACTGGAACCGTTGGTTAAAGCAGAAATCATTGCTAAATTTGTTACATTAGTTGGTAAGTTGACTGTAGCTAATTGACTGGCATGCTGAAGTTGTAATGCCAATGCGGCAACTGGATTTATATAACCTGTTGTTTGTGCCATATTCTAAATAAATCAAGACGTTTTTATAAAAATTAATTATCAATTCTAAATTTGTTAATATATAAAGTATTAAAATCTGTAGAAATTGTTGTAAATTAAAACAATTTTTTTATTGGCTGTTTCGTGGTGTGCTACTGATGTCGACAGATATAAGTAGTATGTATCATCAGTTCAAAGTGAAATACCTGGCGATGGTAGGTTAAGAAGATCGAAGAAAAGAGAACGAGAACAGAGAATGATTGATGCGGAAACGAAAGAACAATAAAGTCTTAGACGATTGATTGACATTCTGTAAATGAAGTATTTACAATATGGTTCTCAGATTTTACTAAAATGTTCTGTAATATTGTATTCAAATACATTCGATTGTTCCCTCTTGTGTTCTCGTTCGCTACGATTTCATTATTGAACTATTCTGATAAAATGTAAACTGTTTAAACTCAAAATCTAATATTGTTTAATTACCGTTATTTCACACACTCATCATTAACGAAATGAGTTTATTTGATTAAATTAACATTTCCGAATTATAAGCAATCACTTCAAATATTTGATTTTATAATTTGCCAGAAGGGGTTTTTGCAGATATTATGGTAATTTTAATGGTTAAGATCATAAGTCAATTAAAGCTAGACCACCATGAAAGACCTGAAAGCACTGGACGGCCGTTTCGTCCCAGTTTAGGACTCCTCAGTGGTGCGTATCCACCATCCCGCCTAGCGAAATTCCAACCCAGCACCTATCAGTCTTGCGCGCGAATGCTTAAACGCTAGACCTTGAGAATCCCAACCCAATAACTAGAACCAAATGAGGATTATAAAGCAGTTTAAAGAATAAGGATTATGATTTACATTTGATCGTTAATGTTAGGAATTTGATTTAGGGTTTTCATCACGAACTGACATCAACTATAATGCCAAAACTCTGTTTACCCAAATAAATAAATGAATGTCGCCCCACAATCCGAGAGCTGTTATTTTGTACGTGATTCGTTCGTCCATAAATTATAGTCTCGCCGATATATTAAATAGCACAGCTATTAAATGTCAAATAATCGGTATTATCTGTTATATCTTAGTGAAGATCAAACTACGGGTAACTTCTGAGAATTATTAATGGACTAATATTATGTATATATAAATATATATATATATATATATTGTATAACTGTTCAGTAGCTAGATTATGCATATCTATATTCCTGTTATTATAAGCTTCATTTTGACCTATAGATTATTATAGTTCTTAAGTTACGTTTATTGACTACAATCTCCCACGTTCACAGCCACTTTTGGGCTTGATCTTGTATAAATGTTATTTCTTATTTTATGGTGCGATGCGGTCTGTCTTTCTGGTATATAAACCAAGTATATTTGAAATAAATGTTTCGTACAGTGAAAGCTGACAATGGCGTTCTGAACTTAACTGGACGGGCTAGGCGAGCAAAAGACCAATAAGGACTCTAGGCTACTCATACCGATAGAACGTTATTGTTTTGGCACAGAACTAAGATTGTATAAATCGTATTTCGATTGGCGAATAAATTACGTGATAACTAGCCAGGCTTAAAGTCACAACCTTACCAATAAATTATTTTCACAGAACTAAATATGAAAATATTTTTGTATATTAATCATGACTACATATGCACTTACCTCTATCATTTGTGAATACATATTACCATTTAGTTGAGACAGTGCTATGGTTGGACTCAATAAACCCATTGGACCAATTAATTGTTGAATTTTTCTTGTATGACGTTCTTTTTCACTATCGGCAAATTTCACAACGATACTTGATGAAGCTCCCTGACATTATTCGTAATGTGGTTTTATATCGTTGGTGATGATGAGGTTTTAATTAACAAATGATGCCGATTCCAGAGAAGATGAATATCCAGACGTGGTAATATAAGAAAGATTAAACTTTACATTTCTACTCAAGTAAATTGAACTTCAATATATATATATATATATATATATATATATATATATATATATATATATATATATATATATATATATATATATATATATATATATATATATATATATATATATATATATATATATATAGCAAGAAAGAGGAGAAAAGATCCAAAATGTGAAACGTGTATAGTTATACTTGACTGAACCAACAACTCACCAATGGCGCAGGATAATAGTTTCGCAACATCATGGATTGATTAAGATTGGAAATCCAAACAATTTTGCATTGACTCAGTGACTTAAATATCCAGCCCTAGTTATGAGATTTAAAGGTCCGGGGTTCAATCCATGTGGGTGGTAGGCACGTGGTTTCCAACTGTTAAGACATTGCATACCACCAGGGTGAACTAGATGTACAGTGTATCCGGGTATTCGATTGTAGACCAACTAAAGTCAGTTTGTGATGCAACACAGGAATATTTTTTCCCGAATAATTTTATGTAGATCTACTGATAATCTTTAGTGATTCATTTCTTTCGATAATCTAAAATTATGGTCAACTGAATAAAATTAGATTACTCATTTTCGTAGTTATAAACCTGCTAAACTCAATGTTTTGTTATTCATTTTGTAGTCATGTGGCTTACTTGTTTATACATGTGATCTATGAATATGGATTATAAAAAGTACTACAAAACATCAAGGTGTCTCGTGTTCTCATTGAATTCCTGGCAAAGTGATATTTGGGAGATGAGAAGAATGCACAAATAGCGTTGAAAGTTTTATTATTTTCGGCATCAATAAAAAAATAACATTTACCTTACTTGGAGATATGACCCAATAAAATCGTTGAATACTGAAATCGATCTAGAAGATTTTTGGGAACGATTTTTAGGACAACCTATGTGATGTTGGATATTCTAAATTTAAACAGTTTTGTAGATTTTGAGTGCTATGTAATCATTATTGTCTTGAAAATTAGTTTCTAAATCATTGAATCAATGATCATTGATTTCCTGTCAAATGATTATGAACATTTCACGTAAGAAAGCATATTAAACCATCGTATCTTATCGGTTGGGGTTAGGGATCACAATTTTATTGATCAATTTTGTAACTTGTTAATTATAATTGTTACCATTTAATTATTAATCAAAATCTATTGGTCATGATACTTTTAGAGGACAAAATACGTTTCCATAAACACACACATACACGAGTATATTGAAAACTTACCGGCATTGTTTGACTTCCATGTAGAGTAAGAATAGCGGATTGTGCTTCCTGTTGTGTAGAGAATTTTACAAACGCACACCCTTTATTTGAAAGAACAAAAGGAAACATTTCTATGTCAGGTTTATAATAAATTAATTGAAATTATGGTTAGTATAATAATAATAATATCAGAAGGGTTCTTTGTGGATATTATGGTAATTTTAATCGTTGAGATCATGAGTCGATCGAAGCTAGACCACCATGGAAAACCTGGAAGCACTGAACGTTCGTTTCGTCCCAGCATGATTATCCTCAGTGGTGCGCATCCACCATCCCGCCTAGCAAAATTCCAATTCAGGACATATCAGTCTTGCGCGAGAGCGTTTAACCACCGGAGCACTGAGCTGGTAACCAACGGTATTAATATCTAACTTCAACCAATACACGAAATCGTGCCACCGTCCACCATTATCTTCAATGAGTTACTATTTCACAACAGACCCTGTTGAACTCAACTTGTCACTGCTTAATAATAATAATAATAGTAATGGTATTAATAGTATTAATAATAATATGAATGGATATTACTGGCAGATGACAATTTTCCATGAACTCTGAATGTTTTTGTTTCGATTAGCTTGACTGAACTGTATTTTCAATTTTTGAAAAACTAGATTCTACTGCTAGCCACTATCCATCTTTTCTTATAATGCTTTAGAAATATGGCAGTATCGAGGCAATACGCACGGAATACACATATATCAATAAGAAATTGATGAATTGCAGTCCTAAACATCAACTCGAAGATTCAATTAAACAATACCAAATGAATTAAAACTCTTGGTTTTAAACTCGTCAATACTAGATACCTATGATCTTAAAACGAGATCTAACCAACGATAATTGTGTCGCTCACAAAATATGATTATTTCAGATGAACAAGCCAAAAACTATTAGTTTATATTGTCGTATTCAATCAGTTTGTGGTACGGCTCACCGTCCTAACGCCATGTGATTGATGAGTTATTATCATACTTCTTAGACGAATTTTTTTAACAAGTCAGTACGGAATTATTATTTGATAGGGTCAAGATTTATAACAATGGCTGAAAAACAACTGAAAACTAAGAATGGTAGATAATTGTTTCATTTTAGTTTAGGGCTTTTTGATAGTTCCCACTTACTATCCAGCAAAGATTTTAACGTAAGATTTCCCATAATGAAAACTCACTTTGAATAATTCGATTTAACTTTTCATGGTGGTGGAATCGTGTTAACTAATAAACAATATTATTATCACGTTTGTAGTTTGCATCAATCACAAATTGTTCTGATTTGAGGTACTCTTAGAAACCAAAGAGCGCTGGGTAGTTATTTCAGCTTATTATGCCACCTGAGGGAACGGGCACCCATGATCTCATCATATTATCTCTCAATCAAATAAAACCATTGTGCCGATATCTAGTGGTACAATTTCATGTACAACAAAATACACATCTAGTACTCTATGGTTTCTAATGGCATCTCAAATGAGATCAACATGCGACGAATACAATTTGCAAATTAAAAACCCAATCAACACAAAATCTCTTCAGCTATACAAAAAACAATAATACTTTGAAAGAATTCAACTTAACAGTTAATTTGTAATGAATCATCATTAATATTTTACCTTTACTATTTCCACTTTGATCTCGAAGTATTGTACACTCTTCAATTGTACCAAATGGTTCAAATAATAATCTGACATCATCTTCATTTTGTTGTTTACTTAACATACCAACAAATAATTTACGTTCTTCTAAATAGAAATAATCAGTCAATAAAAAATAATGTAAAATGCTCATTTAAACATTAGAAAATTTACTATATATATATTGAGCGATTTGAACATTGAATATTTGTATAATTTCAATAAAGAAAAACAATTTTTAGGTTATTGTATTAACTGTATAACATGTAACTATGGAAGCTTCTTCGACACTTCAGGGTGCCTGAGAAGAGAGTCAATATCATACGGAATTCTTATGATCGATTAAACTGCAAAATAGTGAATGGATAAAAGTTTACACACTCGTTCGAAGCAAAGATCGGTGTCAGACAAGGTTGTTTACTCTCACCCTTTCTCTTTCCCCTGTGATCGACTGGAATGTAAAGACGTCAAAATCTAAGGGGAAGCATGGGATACAGTGGACAGCTAGGATGTAGCTGGACGATCTAAACTACGCAGATGACCTGGCTCTTCTATCGCACACGCAACAACAAACGCAGGAGAAGATGACCAGTGTAGCAGCAGCTTCAGCAGCAGTAGGTCTCAACCTACAAAAAGGGAAAAGCAAGATTCTCCGATACAACACATCATGCAACAATCAAATCACACTTGATGGAGAAGCCTTGTAAGATGTAAAAACCCTTGCATATTTGGACAGCATCATTGATAAACAGGGTGGATCTGATTCAGATGTGAAGCAGCGGATCGGCAAAGCAGGAGCAATATACCTACAATTGAAGAATATCTGGAACTCGAAACAACTGTCAACCAACACCAAGGTCAGAATTTTCAATACAAATGTCAAGACAGTTCTACTGTATGGGGCGGAAATTTGGAGAACTACGAAAGCCATCATCCAGAAGATACAAGTGTTTATTACCAGCTGTCTACGCGAAATACGTCGAATCTATTGATCAGACACTATCAGCAATAACCTAGTGTGGGAGAGGACAAACCAGACTCCAGTGGAGGAGTAAATCAGGAAGAAGCGCTGGAAGTGGATAGGACACACATTGAGGAAAGCACCCATCTGCGTCACAAGACAAGCTCTCACATGGAATCTTCAAGTCCAAAGGAGGAGAGGGAGACCAAAGAACACATTACGCCGAGAAATGGAGACAGACATGAGAAGACTGAACAAGAATTGGATAGAGCTAGAAAGGAAGGTTCAGGGCTGGGTTGTGTTGGAGAATGCTGGTCAGCAGCCTATATTCCATTGGGAGTAACAGGCGTAAGTAAGTAAGTAATATAACATGTTAATTTGTAAAGCTTCATTAATTCCAACTTCTCAATAGAACTGCAGAAATATTATCATGAAGTTCGACATTAAATAATTAATTATTTTTATCAGTCTAATTTTATTATATTATGAAGCTAATGAATATTCATCATGATACCCATTATCTAAGTAACATTATTTTCACTATCAATGTATGCTAGACCACTATTGAAAATCTGGTAGCAGTGAAGGGCCGTTCCGTCTCATTACGGGACTTCTAAGCAGTAAGGATCTACGATTCCACACGCAGGACTTGAACCTAGGTACTTCGATTTCGCGCGCGAAAGTTTAAACTCTAGATCACTGAGCCAGCATTCAACGGTATTAATGTCCCATACTAGGACGAAACGGCCATTCAATGCTTACAGGCTTTCAATGCTGGTCTAGCTTAAATCGACTCGTGAATTCAATCCTTAAATATACTACAATCTTCACATATCCCCATACTTATACTTATGAACGCAGTGTAGTATTGAAATAAGTTTTTTAATTTCTTATTGTTCATTAAAATATATTTATATTTTTGATATTCAAACAATAACAGATTCTCTTAATAATATCAATATTTAGAGAAGGGTTTTGTGGATATTATACTAATTTATTAGTCGAATTCATGAGTTAATTGAAGACAGACAGCCATGGAAAACCTGGAAGCACTAGTCCTAGTATGGTACTCCTCAGCTGTGTGCATCAACGATCCCACCTCGCGGGATTCGAACCCAAAACCCGTCAGTTTTGCGCGCCAATGTTTAACCTCTAGTGCACTAAGCAGGTCGGCATCCAATGGTGTTAATGTCTAACATCAACCAATTCACGAAATTGATCCACCAACCACCATTGTCATAATATTAATAATAATATTAAGATTTCTGGCGACTCGACATAGTTTTGTGTCAAATAATCTTTATTTTTAGTTTAAACCTACTTGTCAATAATCCTTTAAAGGTATTAATTGTGAAAGTTATCAAATTTCCACTGTATACTTTAACACATTTAACTTGAGATTGTTCTCATCACTAATTTTAACTACTATCTTTAATTCAGTAAACAAATTTGTATACAAAACAATTTTTCATCTTATTACAAGGTGGAAATAACATCGGAAATTGATGTAATAAATATTACGTAATTCCTAACAATCATCTAATATAAAAAGACAGTACACAGTTGTGACGCCTTGTACTCTCAAACTTGGTGACATGAGTTTAAATTTCACTGGGATCATCATTTCTCTCATGGATTTGAGTGTATTATGGTGATAAGCATATAATTTCAGTTCAGGGTTTTTGTCGACTACCATCATCTAATTAACATCAAAGCTCTAACTACCATAAATATTCATTGTCATAGTCATGCATGTTGCCAGTGAACAATAATGAAATTTCCCACATATGTTGCGTCAGTTATCCAATAAACAACAACTAAATTAAATTTCGCAATCACTGAAAGTCAACTGGTAGGATTTTATTAGCCTTACATTGTATGACAAAGTATATTAAATGTTATGATAAGACTGTTATCCATACTCTTAAACGAAAATATCTTATGAACTAGTTGGTGCGTAATCCTGTTCAATATCTGTCACCCAAAGGTATGCAACTTTATTATTAAACGTCATAATACTAAACCATGATAAAATAGAATGTGTTCGTTTTTTTAGTTTATCAGACCTCCGCCTTTCTGATATTCGTCAGTAAAATTATAAAATCAACTTTATATAAATCAATTCTACATCATACACATTAAATTCTGTCACCTGGATCTAACAAACCTTTTGTAGAACTATATGTGTATTTATGTTTACTACTAATGAACTAAAAACATTCAACATCACACTTAGATTGAATGCTTCGGTTAACCGATTTTGTTATTAATTTAAAGTAATTGAACACAGGCTTGATTCTTATCCTGAAGTAAATTCAAACAAATAATCCTGTCTTACGTAAATTAGTTTGTGGCTTGTATATCTTATTGTTAATTTATCTGTTGAAGCTTCCGATACATCTAACTAAAGACCGAAAACAAGCATGAAACTACGGTGGTGATCAATTTCAAACGTCTTATAGAAGCGGAATACTGGTTAAAGCAATGACCGTCCAGATAGTATGTTATAAGTTCAATACTTGGTGAATTATTGCTTTTAAAGCGTGTAGCAGAAAAGTGTATTGTTAAATAAACTATTAAAGTTGTTTATCAATAACGAATTGTAGATATAACGGTTAGGACGAGACTATAATTTATGGACAAACAAATCATGTATAAAATAACAGGTCTTAGATTTCGGCACGAAATTCATCCACGCATTTGGCTAGATAGAGTGTTGGTATTATAGCTAACGTCAGTTCATGATGAAAACCCTAAATCGAATTCTTAAGCTTAATCATCAACTATAAATCATAATTCTAATTTCTCACACAGGTTTATAACCTTCATTTGGTCCTGGTTATTAAGTGGACACTCTCAAGGTCATTTTTGCGTCGCTCAAAGGTCATCCATAAATTATAGTCTCACCACGGATAGCTTTAAAATCACCGTCCAAATTTGATTATTGTATTATGGGTTGTGATTGGATGAATGTAGGGGCCATCTTAGAATTAATAAAATAAATGAATTTAATTTTCTTCAAAAGACGATACATAGTGAAATAATCTGACTGTATGATTGTTTGTCAGAGCACTGAATTATTGTCATAAATGCCTAAATTAACTAAGATCAACGGTAAGACTACCAGACAGAAGTTGTTCTTTAGTAACAGATGAAACAGGATTAAACTTCGTAAACGATTAGTTAGTAAGACGTTAATACATCACCCCAATGGAGTTACTATCTGGTTGTCATATCATAAACAGTATAGTCTTAGAAAACATCACTGTGTTCTGTTCGTTCTACAAACTATCAATGAAACCTAGTCTTCAATCATACAAACATTAAAAAAGATTCGGTATGTTGATTATGAATTGAATGATCACATCATTTACTAAGCATTTTAGATTCATTTGGAAATATTGTGAGTTAAATACACCAATTATTTATGTTCATTAAGAGCAAAGGGAATGATATCTAACAATTTCTAAATGTCTATGGTTAAGTCAAGTTAAACCGCTTCTAGTTGTGAATAATATTTTAGTGAATTTTACTATATTACTGAAATCGAGTTATAATTTAAGTGAACTTGAAAATTTGTGAACAACAAACACATAGATGAATTAAATCAATGGTCTATTCAATCAGGAGAAAAGAAGTGAATTGTGTACATGGTTTTTATGTTTCTGAAATGTTACCAAGGGTTTTTCATCAAACAAATAAGCTATCTGGAATAAATGAAGCAATCAGATATATATGAATGGATATAAAAGAGTTTTATTAAGATTCAATAACTGTACAGGAATGAAGACAAGCTATTGTTATCAACCAATACATATGAATGAATTCAAGCAGATAAATCCATTTCAGGGGTTGAGATCATGAGTCAATTGAAGCTAGACCATCATGGAAAACCTGGGAGCACTAGACGGCTGTTTCGTCCTATTGTGGGACTCCTCAGCAGTGCGAAATAAGACGTAACAGCCGTCCAGTGCTTCCAGGTTTTCTATGGTGATCTCGCTTCAATTGATTCATAATCTCAGCCGCTGAAGTTTTTATAATATTCACAAAAGCCTTCATTTTGATTTAAAAAATAAAAAAAATTCGTTTTCACAAATATCAAATAGGACTGACACATCAGAATCATAAATAATGCGAAGGATAACAT